TTCCAGCTCTCCGAGTCTTCTCCCTGTTTGGTACATACTACAATATATATATATATATATATATATATATATATATATATGATTGCTTTTACAGGTCACCACCAATGGTCTACTTGTATTCTTGACATCGTACGGTTTCCGTCAGAACCGCACAGCTTCTGATTGGTCGGCACAATCGGCCTGTGGTTCTTTGCCCAGAAACTGTAACATGTCGCCACATGTTTGGCGCTATCCGGTTTTCCCCAAAGTGCGTAAGTTGATTGATATGATTTGGAACGGTGAGAGATTGGTGAAGGTGCTACAGAACTGATTGGTTGGTCAATTTGAACGCGGTGGTTTGTCTAAAACGTATGGTAATCCGGATCCATAATTGATCTTTGGAACTGGATGCATTCCGGATTGAGGAATGGCTTCTAGCCCCAGTCTTAAGTCACACACGTGTGCAACGAGTTGGGGTCGAGTAGCCTGTTTTGTCGGTCGGTTCAAGCTTGAACGACGATGGGCCAACTGGTGATGAGTACTTGGTATGAATAAAATAAAATAATTATATATGTATGTGTCTGTGTGCGCGTGTATGTGTTATTCGCATAGAGAGTGAGCGATTGAGCGCGCTAATACATAACTCTTTTTTGAGTTCTACCGCATACATCTACTCTTCAAACGGTACACGAAATCGATCGATCAGCTTGTACCGTAAATCACCGTCGAGCGGCACCCGTGGAATGTTACCCTGCATCGTTAGCATCATATCCGTTTTAACATGACGATATGCAAGTCAAAAGTCAAGTACAGCTTTATGCACCCGATAGGATGAATTGTCAGCATTTTCGACAAGTTACAGTGGGGAAAACGGTAAGCATTGGGAAAAAGAAGATATTGCACATTTACTAAATGTAAAAAACAAACGGATTCGATAAAAATCCGAATGTGACAGATGATTGTTCAAATCAGTAATAATATTAGCTTGATTGAGCAAGATACGAGCAAAATAAGGGATCATGCTGTTTTTATGTGTGGTGGTGCGTGCACACAGAATCCGAAATTGGGAACGGGTACTCGGATGAGACACCGATTTATTGAGATGGGAGTGCAGGCAGTGTTCTTCGTTGGACAGGATATGGCTGATAAATCGATCGCAAGAATCACAATGCTTGCTCACAATAAAGTCAACCAAAACGGTCTTTGAAATGCCGCTGCAACGAGAAAGAAGTTTAAGTGATCCGGAAAAGAGAACAAAGTCTTTCTCCTTCAGACCAGGAAAATATACGAGGGAACAGTACAACCAATGTGGAAGAATGCATGCAGTCACAAATTTCAGAATTACGTTTAAGGGACCGCTGAGCTTTTTAAGTTTAAACGCGTAGAAGGACAGTCTACGAATATAACCGAATATAGACGTTTTCAACATGTTTGGACCAAGAAAGATTGTGTGACAAAGTGACAAAGTGCAGAACCAGTTGATTGCAAAAATCATCATCTATGCGCTGCTTTCTGCTAGTCCGTTATTATCGATTTGAACTGACTTGCGCTAATCACGGTGACATGTTTTACACATTTGACCTGACTGTATGACCTCCGCTTCGGGTTTGTTTTTTCTCAACTCACGACTATCTGAGGCTCTCTACCGTATTCATCTTGTCGCCTTGGCACCGACGGGTGAGTACAACATTTCTGTAATGAAATTTTGCTTCAACCGGACAGAAAAATAAATGTGTGTGCGACAAGGGGGAGGGAAACAGTGTAGCTTTGGTCATTTATTCATGTGTAACTGGCAC